GACGCTCTCGGGCATCGATAGTTTTATTTACCGAGCCGCGGCATATTCGTATATCGTGAAATCGTTCCGGTTCGTTAAGCCGATCTTTATTTCAGCCATCTTTATCGATGTCGGTGGCGCGCTCGCGAGATTCTACCACCGCCCGCGTCCCCGTCCCCGTTCCCGTTCCTACTTCGGGCTCTCGTTTCGAGGACAAAAATCCGAAGAGCAGCATCCAACATCGCGACGACCGCCGCATCCTTGCAACGGTTCACCGACCCGCATACGCCTTCCTCTCTCTCGTCCCTTACCGCTTCCTCATCCTCATCCTCATCCTCCTTCCCCTCCTCCTCCCTTTTCCTTCCCTACCCGGGCGCATTCATTGTGCATCGTACCGCGTGCATGCACGCGCGCGACCCGCAGTTTCTGCGGTCGTATAATTCGATCTGCATTGTTCGCCAATCGCCGATCGCCGCTTACCCCAGACGTCGCTTATTGGCATAATTGATTCATTTAATCATGCTCGGGGGAAGAGGGGAGGGGGAGGAAGGGGAGGAAGGGACGCGATAACCACTTGTCCAATCGTCCGCGAACGGACCCTCGATCGAATCTTTCAGCGGGAAAAGAAAGACATCATGCCGTTTACTGCTAAATACGATACGCGAATTTAATGCGAACTGTTAAATAATGCGCAAATTTTTTTCCATTTTTTTAATATGCTTTTCGCACGGTGTCATGGGAAATAATAACAGTTCGAGATTCTTATAGCTTTAATTCATTCTGATTGATTAAGATACTGTGCGTTAAGATGAGCATTTTATAAAATGATCCGCTAATTAATTTAAATGGTCCCCGCGTATTAACCTATTTTTGTAATTTTATTTACAAGCGCGAACCGCTACAGTGATCAATTAGCATATTAAACTGATATGCAAATGTAATAACGTCAACGAAACGAATGATGAAATGTAATTTATAGTACTTGGTTATAGTCGCTAGTTGAAATTAATTAATTATCTCGAATAATTCTTCTTCATGGTTAAGTAATCCGATTTTTTTAAATTTAACCCATTTTCCTCGCAAAAGTTTGCCCTTTCCGGTAACAATTATTGCAGAGAAAAGAGGTAAATAATGAAAAATTTAATCGTCCATGAAAATCACAGGCGATTTTCACAGGCAATTATCGTTTCGCGTGGAGAGTACACGAGGAACGTAACGTCATTTTAAGTTCATTAGGCGTGCGAAATACCCCACGATGCGAGAGTCCGCTCCTTTTCGATTATTATCCCGTTCCGCGTTCATATGTGGCGGAAATGATGAAGGGAGGTAAGCGCGGTACATCGAGAGCGACGTAATTAAAAAGACGAATGATCGATATGTAGAGCGGGTTATAGGCCAGCGAGGTGCGATACATTCTGTACAATCGAAAAAACGATCGCAGTCTAACACTTTCAGTTTTTTTGAGTGGGATTAAATCTCTTCATCCCCGACCAATTCAATTTAGATATCGCCCGCGTTGATGAATATACAGCGACCGCGAGTCATTAAGCGGCGTCGGCTAATCGATAAATCGCAATCAGCGTAATTACAGCTTCTTCGACAAACATGCTTCGTCCGCGTAACGTCCCGATTTCTCACGAAACGCGAGGATTTTTTTTTTTTTTTTTTTTTTTTTTTTTTTTTTTTTTCATGCATTATGCATTCCCACCGGCCGGTCCGGTGGGATATGCGGGACTCGCACCCGCTAAAAAACTCTCCCTGCAGGGCCAACCTTTGACCCCGCCGATACTTACACAAATTAAGATTCTGAGATTTAAGAAACATGATAGGCAAGAAAGATAATACAAGTAAAAATTTCAAAAGTTAGAATTTGGAAAACTCCATCTTTATTTTCTTTTCTCATTTACAGTATAATGAAAATTACTATCGTTTTCGTGCTCGACCATCGTGCTCGACCGAAAGAAAGGCTCGAAAATGACGGCAAAAAAAGTGGTTTGCTTCCTTCGGTCGGGAAGGTGCCGGTTAAGTTTTCGCGCTTAAATACAGCCGGTTTCTTTTAAACGGATGCCGATTTGCCAGTTTGCCGCTCCGACTACGAGGTGCAATTTGCAACGTTAATAAATAACTCGCATTAACTCGCTACGATTGGATGAGACGAGAGTCTCATATAATCGTTATATACGAGAGTATATAATGTAAGACGCGCCTCTCTCCGATGCGTTTCGCCGATATTCGACCGAAATGTATGGCGACCGCGCCCTCCGACACCCGATGCCATCCTTAACTGTACACATACAGCCCGATTTTATAATTTGTTATATATTATATACAATCCGGTATGGAACGAGCGCCGTAAATCCCGTATGCTGTTGACCCGACGCGCGCTGGACCGAGACCGGCGGCTGCGGCGGATCGCGGACCCGCACGGACGGTAGATATTCTCGGACGGTCAACCGGAAGTAATTAAGGTTTCGACAGAGAATCTCCTTGCGGATAAACCTATGGCATGGCCAAAAAGAGCGACGGCGAGAGAGACCTTCGTCGGGGAAATTAACGTTACATCGCGTTCTTCGTCTCCTACCGTCTCTCTCTCTTTCTCTCTCTCCCTCTTTCTCTTACATTGCTCGGTCTTAAATATCACCTCAATATGGCCTTTACGTATCTCAGTGTCCGTGCAAAATACCCCGTTAACGATTTAATATACCGCTTCGCATCCTTCACTTACTATAATATCGCGAAAGGTACGATGCAGGTATTCTAGTCATGTGTAGGCAGCAACCCTTTACTTCTCGTAAACCGTTCGCGATCGTGCGAGTAATATCCCGGCTTTCGACAACTTCCGTGCGACCCGGACGATTATATATCTGGCTGTAAAACCTCCCGATCGGAAAGTATTTTCGGCCGCATAAGCATCGCGTCGCACAAACGTATAGGCGCGATATAAATAATCCTCGAGAGATCGTGTTTGATATAACCTAAGTCTAAGAATATATATCGCATCGTAAATGCGTAATGCATTTCATAAACCTCACGTCGCGATTAGCTCGCCGCGTGATTCTCTACCACAGATCGATCTTATCGCGTATTAAACATTTCCGCGATATACGCCGCGCCGGGCGCGCGCATCTTCTCTTTTGCGAGTATTTAATTATTTAATCGAGAGACTTCCTACATTCAATGGACAGCAATATCCTGGGATATTTGAGCGATCGTTTCGTTGAAAGAGATCCCGGTACAAGAGATATAACTCGGTTATAATTCCGTACTTTGCTTAAAAAACGCGCGCGCCCGTATGACTCACTTCCTCCGGTCTCTTAGGCAGGTATTTATTTATTTATTTATTTTTTTGCCGCTAGCTTTACTTCCTTCACCTATATCGTGCGTTATATATACATATGCGCAAGTACTATTATTGCAATTATGTCATTACAATAATGGGTGCTCGTAACAAAACGAAACGACTAACAGTAAACGTTATTACACCTATTTCTTTCTCTTTTAACCAGAGTACCGTTGACGCTTAAACTTCACTTTTCTAACAGTACTCGGGCCAGTCGAACGCATCTGTTTAGAATAAATGAGAGAATATTCAATTTATTGAAGGAATAGTAAACACGTGTATTTCATGATTGTAAGAATACGACATCATTACGGTATCATGATAATTGACCTTCGATTACAATCATCGCGTTTTTACGCAATTATCGTTAATGTGTTTATTATTTAAATCATTAATTTTTCACGCAGATTACGCATCCGGTGCGTGTCCCAGAGTATGTCCGCCGAGCGGCGAACCCGTTTGCGGCAGCGACGGTGTCATATACGCGTCGCAGTGTGAAATGCGGAAGAAGATGTGCGGAAAAGGTAAGGTGCTTTTAATTATAATAGTTATTATTATTACAGTACACCACGCATCGTAGCACCGTATACATGTGCTCTGGTTCGCTCGTCGCGAGATTACGATCTCCTTTTTCTTTTCTTTTTTCCGAGAGACTCTCGTGGAGACATATATCAACTCCGTATGATTTCGTTATCCCGTTTTATATATTATTCCCGACCGTAAAAGAATAGCGCGCGAATCCATTAGTAGCGGTTTGTCGAGAGATTATGTATAACCGGCGTCGCGCTTTTCAATTACAATCACGGAAATAACGCGACCTTCATTCGCCGATCTTATGCGATATTGCCGTGCTTCGCGGCGCGGATAGTCATGATAAAGAGTACATTCGTGTCGTTATTCCCTTTACTACTCCGCGATAGCAACGGTCAATGTTAACGAGGATCCGTTTCTTTCGTAAAATGGATGACGGCGATAAATTATACGTCCTTGTGCAAAACGAATCGCGATCTCCTAGAGCGTCGAAACTATTTATGCGTTAGAGCGCCGGGTGATTTGTTCGTTCGTAGACGAACGAGAATAATCCTCTACATACGAATGTATCCATATATCGTATATACAATATATATATATACACCAAGATCTCGTTTCGTGCTTGATGACCGTGCGTGAAATCTATCTACGTATCTCATTATTTTGCCGTTGCCGTGTCGCTCATTTAGGCGTTACCGTGGTCACGGACAAGACGGCTTGCCTGAGGTCATCCGGTAGCAAGTGCGAGCACCGCTGTCCGGGCGATCAAGATCCCGTGTGCGGCACCGATGGGCGTACCTACCTGAACAAGTGCATGCTCAGGGTGGAGATCTGCCGGGTCGGGATCGAGCTGTCTCACCTCGGGCCGTGCAACAATATTTCGGCCCACAGGGAGAACTGTCCGGTCTCGTGCGACTACGCGCCGCTCGACGGACCGGTTTGCGGAAGCGACGGAAATGTTTACAAGTCCACGTGTCAGATGAAGCTGCTCACTTGCGGGTACGGTGGGGCAGTCGATTTCGGACTGGGAATGATTTTTTTTTAAATCGCGAAAAGATCACGTTTGAACCTCAACCTCGAGATGGTTATCCGAGGAAAATTTTTTTTTCTTACGCGATAAAATTTAATTTATTAATATCCGATTACTCATTTGTATAACTCATATCTTTTTATATATTTTCTATATAAAAAAGAATTTTACTGATATCTCACAAATATGGTAATTCAATCGTAGACATCGTTTTTACTGCCTAGTCTCATAAAATAGTCTCGTAATACATGTAACTACTCTGCGGGAAGGAAGAGTTTATTCTAACATAAAACTAGTCTCCGGCCGCAAAGCGATTTTGACTTTTTCCCGTTCGCAGGCAAGGCGTCGTGCGTACGAATAAGAAGCACTGCCAGACCACAAGACATTGTCGTGAATCGTGCTGGCGTGGTGCCAAGCCTGCCTGCGGTAGCGACGGCATTTTGTACTCGAACACCTGCAAAATGCGGGCGAAGAACTGCGGGTAAGTCTTGAGTCTGCGAATCCGACATGTACAACCGACCGGCGACGACGCGATCGTCCCCGAGGGACTTTCTCTCTGGCAAAAATCTATCTCGTTGCCCGCGTTCCCTCTATTCTTTCCTTCTCTCATTGTACGCACTTGATCATTTAAGAACCGCTCTCTCTTCCCTGTATACACTTCGTTATAACTCCTCGCGTAAGAGCACTCGAGTTGCCCTTTGCTCTTCCCTTCACTGAGATTTCTCTCTAAATATTACATGCGATTTGTTAGAACGCGAAATGCAACATACGCGATCTAATGTTTCTCGATATTTGAATTTTCCCTTCAACAAGTAGTTGAGAATTATTATAATCCTATTTATATAACCGCGTTTTTTCCCATGCGACTTTTTGTCGAAGTTTTGTTAATTGAATTGCAAAAATTTCGTCAAACTCTAACGCGTTATATTTATCAAGAACAACTGCTTTCCAGCAAACACGTCTTCGAAGTGCCGATGTCATTTTGCGTATCTCGGGAACGGACGTCCGGAAGCAACGCGTGTCCCTTGGATTGCAAAAACGAACCGGAAATATCAGTCTGCGGATCGGATGGGAACATATACAGGAACGAATGCGAGATGCAAATGCTAAACTGCGGGTGGGTATTTATTAACGGCGCTGTTTCTCTTCAATAAGTAAAAATTGAGCTCGTGCTTCCTTGTCACGAGTAATCGATCATCGGTCACGAATCTTTAGCAAAGTGTTAATAATCGACAGGCATGCAAGAAGAAAGGTAACGGTAGTTGACTTCGAGAAGTGTCGGTCTCGGCTAACGAAATGCATGAAGCAACAGCTGAGATGCGGAAGCGAGGTGGATCCGGTTTGCGGTAGCGACGCGAATACTTATCCAAATCAGTGCCATTTGAACGTAGCGGTTTGTTTGTAAGTTACGTTTATCTCTTCGGAATAATGACAAATTTATTTTTCAAATCTCAAGAAACCATAATCTTTCCAACGCAATCGTTTATAGTAATTCATCAATTTAACCGAACATCCAATTAACCGTAGACAAACTGACTTATTTTCTCGATATTTGATGCGTTTTAGAAAGGGTATCCAATCGGCTCACGTTGGCGAGTGCACGACCTTGAAGGAGACCGAACAGTGTCCCGAAGATTGCGCCGAAGTACCCGAGGAACCAGTTTGTGGAAGCGACGGCAACGTTTATCGGTGATTAAGAATGTTATTCGGATTCCAGAACGTCCGCCGTCCAAGATTTTAGGGGCGCATTCATTACAAAGTGGTCGTCCATTAGAGACCGACAAAAGACCTCGGATTCTTTTCAAAATTTACTCTTCTATTCTGGTCTTTGATTTCAATGCGTGCGATTCGCGCGAAATATATTGTCATTTATCAATTTAAATTTCAGGGATTTTCATATGTAAAGATAAAATATCCAACGAAATTCGCGATAAAATTATTTCTGGTTAGGATCGAGAATGCAATATTTTCCAAATATTTAAACGGATTCGAGTGTAAAATTTTTTCGAGATTAAACAACTTGAGCTTAATGCAATAACAAAAGGTATAATCGTTAAAGCGTCGATTAAACAGCGGCCGGAGATCCTTCAAAGTTGGCGTGTTTACTAATGCGTCACGTGTGCACTCTCGTATGCATTTTAGATCCCTCTGCCATCTGCGGCGCGAGACTTGCGGCCAGAGGGTGGTTCAAGTTCCGGCGCAACATTGTCGCACCACCGCGCTCTGCAACCAGATCTGCAGCGGGGAACGTCAATTTGTTTGCGGCTCCGATAACAAGCTCTATCGCAACGAGTGCGAGATGAAGAGGGACAATTGCGGGTAAGCCGCCTGACCGCCAAGTATTATATTTGCCTGTTATACCGGAGAGAGAGAGAGAGAGAGAGAGAGAGAGAGAGAGAGAGAGCTTTCGTTCGATAAGTATGGAATTGTAGTGAGCCCTTGCCATTAATTAAACCCTTGATTCTCGAGAAATCTACGTAAATACACGGAAAATCTCATTTATTAATAATATTTGCTTTACCGGCTTTCAATCGAATGATAAATAATAGCGAATAAATGAAATCGTTAATAATCAAAGCGATATGGAAAGAAAAAACAGCAAATAATATGTAAAATTATTGTCTTGAAAGAAAGATGCATTTAAAGTTTTTATATTTCGCCTTACGAAATATTTAAATTTACTTAAAATTCCACAGATTACAAATAAAATTGTAAAATAAAGTAAATTTTAATTTAATTTTCTTTTTAAAAATATTACCTCAATTGAATCTTTTATTGTTCAAGAAGAGCAATTAAATTATCTCAATAATTTTGTAACCGTATTTTAACTTCAAGCATACAATTTTCATTCTTCATTTTATACAGTAGAAATAGTACAATATAATAATTTCATTACTTCGCTAGAAGTAGCGTTTGCTCAAAAGCTAATTATTAACATTCAAATTAAATCATTTCCATTTATTTAAAAAAATCTAGAGACAGAACGGCGATATTTCGTGTCGCGCATGTAATTTCATTGACCGCAATAGTACTTTTTCTCCGATATGTAACTATCATACTTTCCATAGACTTTCATTACGACGGCGACGGTCGCGCGTTGAAATATATTTCTGAGGAATGGAAAAGATGGCCTAAGAAACTCCGAGAAACGGTTAATTCGAATTATAGTATCGCATGCGATGAAAGGCAGTTTACGATTCAGCTAGACTCAACCGTTCCATTACGTTTTCTTTATGGAAATAATAAACTATCAGTCATGCCGTCGTGTACACGTATATACCAGCAGGATGTTCTCGTGCCCGTTGTTCAAATACGCGAGAGGAAAGTATCCTACTTCGCGAATGTGAATTGAACACAATCGCCGTACAATTTCGAAAGTAGAAATTATCGACGCCTTAGCGCGACCCATTTCCTCAAAAGAGTCATTTTCTATCTTCGATTGCTTTCTAACGCGCCCACTTCCACTGCATGCTCATCGAATGTTAAATAAACACAAACTAATACTCGAAAATATTCGTAACACAAGTACTAATCTAAATCGTTAAACTCACGAATCTTGTAATTGCTCTTTAACGCGCGAGGCAAATTTAGCTCAAATTTATCCAATTAAGCTCAATTTTTATCAATTTAGCTCTAATTTAATAAAATCTTAATATCTTAAGTAGCGAGAAAAAAATGAGCTTGATTTCCACTTTAGGAAACACGTGTACGTGGTACCTATGAAGAGATGCGTCCAGGGTTTCCTGTTTCGCGGCTGCCAAAAAATCTGTCCGCCTTATTACGATCCCGTTTGCGGCACCGACGGCATGACGTATAGCAACGAGTGCTTCTTGGAGATCGAGAATTGCCGTAGCAGGAGTCTCGTCACGAAAAAGTATCACGGAGTATGCGGCCAACCGACGGAGGAGCCGAAGAATTATCTCTATTAAAATCGATCGAGCTGGCACGACTCGACACGAGAGAGAGAGAGAGAGAGAAAGAGAGAAAGAGAAAGATAGAAAATGCGAGGAAAAATCATTCTACGAGATAATTTAACTCGTATTTTTCAGAATCGGGAAGCGACAATTGCTGTACATTCACTTGTCATATGTCGTCTTCAAATATTTAATAATTGTTCGGCGAACCAGCTGCAAATTCGACGAATTCCGATCGATCAAGTATTTTGGCGTTTGATTAATCGATCGTATAATTCGCGACTCTAGACGCCATTCAAACACACAAGCGCGATGCGATAAATAAATATACGTAGGCTCGGACATTTGATATCCTGAATGATCCAAAACGCGCTAAATTTCCATGGCGGGAAGCGTGTTCGAAGAAAAACAATACATCTTGCCAGTCGCAGAGTTCGAATTGTTGTCGTATTGTTACTGCTATTTCTACGATAATATTCGTCGCGATTGCCAATTTTCCCTTCTCCGGTATAATATATCGCGCGAAATAATTCGCGCGGCAAAATTATGGTTCGCAAATCGCTATTGTATGTCAAAGTTAAGGAAAATCATTTTTTTTTATTTTTTTAACTGGGAGTGGAAAGGAGGTTTCGCCAATTACGATATAGTCTTTTCGATATACTTTACATATACTTGACGCGCGATGTAGATTCATTATTATTTATTGTAGAGCATTAATCATTGCGTATGCGTTTTTTGACGCGATTTTTCATTTTTTTTTTTTTTTTTTTTTTTTTTTTTCGAATTATAAAATTATCTAACAATAAATATTATACGAAATTTCTACCAAATTCAAGTCTTAATTTTTCGTCAATTGCGCCCGTCGTTTTAATTATGGCTAATAATGTATCGACACGGTGTTGCTAGAGCATATTCTTATTCTAGGATTCTAGGGGAATATTGTACTATTACATTTTCTTCCGATATATGTGATGTGTGTTCATTTATTACTATTATATTATATCATTGCAATCTTAATTTATTATCGAGCATGCGAGAAAATCATTCTTCTCTGTCATGTATCGACACTAACTCTGTATACGCTTCCAATGTCAATAATAAATCATATATGTATATTTTAAGATATAAAAAAGCTGTACAAGAAAATTATACATGCGTAATAATATCAGAAATATGACACGTTATTCATTTCTATTTATTTTTTCCAAAGATTTAAAAAATCTGACATCAGAGCGCCAATTATCATGATACCACGACAGCATGTGTGTGTGTGTGTGTAAATGTATATGCAATAAACGAATTTACTTATCAACTGGGTACGTCATGGGTCATGGGCGCTGCGATAAAGATGCTCGACCGGCGCCAACTTCTGATCATTGCCTCTTCGACGATTCACTTTCCCGAGCACTCGCACTCGCGAATACGAAAGATACTCTTAACGAGCGCGAATTAACGCGATACTAATTAATTAATACGACCATCGTCTGATACCTTGTCCTCCCGGTATTCATTCGCTCACGCGACGCACTTTAGACGAAAATAAAACGCAAAGAATGCGCAACGCGACGTTACCACGACCTTGACTGACCGACGCGACGCGAAACAATATGACCGACCGCTTCGTCGATCACGTACAACTTCACGCGAATAACGTACCGACGCGTTTCGTCGCGATTTAGGTTAATAATATACCGACGCTAGGACATGAAGCAGTTTAAGCAAACCAAAAAAAGACATGAAATGAGTAGATGGATGAAAATAAATAAATATTACAACCGTAATTATATATATAATGAAAATATGTTAAACTATATCTATTATCTGAGAGAAGCCTGAGAGGGGCCGCGCCGCCGTTTTTCGTGAGACCGTTTTCCTAGCTGGTATAGTGGCGCTAACTGGATTTTAGAGCCGGCGGAACTACAATGCCAAATCCACTTTTTGATGCCATGGTAAAATGACCGGTTGGTGCATGTCCATGCTAAATACATATTGTGGGTCGAAAATGCGGAGAAATATTATGGATTTATTAATGTTTTCTTAATCGCGTGTCCTACTCACGTGCCCTACTCGCATATCCTAACCGTGTACCTTACACGCGTGCCCTATTCGCGTGTCCTATTCGCGTGCCCTAATAGAATGTACCGTATGCTGCTTCGTTGGGCCAGTTGGACCTACCTTTTGTTGATCCTGGCCATATTCATTCTAGCTACATCTAGCCAGAGATGTAGCTTCGATCTCTATCAGAGATCAATGAAGGAGAGAAATTCCTTCTGTTGCCGGCTAATCATTGTCGCCGGTGCATGAGCGTAATTTTACGCTCGTTTATGGTCGTGAGACATTACGACCGTTTGTCATGCATCATTTTAATATAACTTTACTTTAATTAATATAATGCCAAGTTATCAAAACTAATTGATTAAAATTCTTATAATAATATAATATTTTCTTAATAATAATATATAATTTATATTAAAATAGAATAAGTTATTACTATTTCATATAATTAATAAATTTACTCTAGCGTCTTCTTCATTAAACAAATTAAATAAAATTTATCGGTTAAAAAAATATTTTACATCTTTTTCAAATTTTTGCTTTAATTCATACTTTAATGTTTTAATGCATATTAAAAAAATCTATTGAAAATCTATTATATAATTTAATCTATTCTAGCCCATCCATTTTGAGGCAACGGATTTATAATCTATAATCTACATTTATATCTACAATATCTAGGAATCCGTTACCTCAAAAGAAAATAAAGTTCATTACTCACCGGCACTGATGCGCAACAGCGGAGTTGTTGGTCTTGAGGCTACGTTGTCTGTAACATACAAATATAAAATTCAAATTATAACAGCGTCCACAATATAACTAATATTTCATGCAAAATATTTTATATTCGATTAGCGTACAACGCTAATTGTAAAAAGCTCTATATAAATATGGAACAATTCTATAAATTATAAAAAGACTTTTTTTCACATAGAAATTTTTATAGGAATTATGTAAAAGTCTTTCTTTTTAATTTTCTCTTGTTTAATTCATTCAAATAAAAAGATCGAATTAGTACGCGATTTTCAACATGCGACAACGCGATTTTAATTCGAATCTTTACATGCTGTCGAAAGTCGAATGATAAAGCGGCGAACAAAATATATTTAAATTGAAATATTTTTGAAGAAATTATTTATCAAATTATTTCCCGAGACTTGTCGCGATCACGTTTAGAAAAGGAATTTGACGGAGCGTCTCGCACTACTACATTACTGTTCGAGTGTCACCGTGCGAATGATAAAGCCGTAACACATAAACAATAGCGCGCTAATGTTTACGCCGCCAAAGCCGAATACTATGTTGTTGATAATTTGCTTCCGAAATATTTTCCGTACTATGCCGTATATACAAACGGAATATTATATTATACAAATATTTTAAATTATAGATCAATTATTTAATAAACGATTAATATATCACACAGCTTATCGTTATGTTAATTACTCGATCCTGCGGTTCGATTGTTTAATTGCGTGTTCTCAATCCAAATTATATTTAAATAGTTAAATTATATTTAAATATATCAAAAAGTCGTACGATACAACATGGGACAAAATATCTTTACTTTAAGTATCGATAGAAAAATAATTATTGTTCGTAAGGATTGCAACAAAACGATAATTTATAATTATTTTATAATTTAGATTTCTGTCACTTCGATTCTTACTTTAAGAAAGATTCTTACTTGTATTTTATCGGTTTGAGAATATTTTTAATGGATTAATGAGATTCTTGCGATTAATTTTAATGGATTTTTGTGCGATTAAAATGACATTAAACACAACATAAATCGGATAACTTTTAATTAAACTAATAATAAAAATTTTGATTACATATTTAACTAAAAATTATCCGGTTTATGTCGTGTCTGGTATCATTTTAATCGCAAAAATCCATTAAAATTATTTTCAAACAGAACATGGGACAAAATATCTTTACTTTAAGTATCGATAGAAAAATAATTATTGTTCGTAAGGATTGCAACAAAACGATAATTTATAATTATTTTATAATTTAGATTTCTGTCACTTCGATTCTTACTTTAAGAAAGATTCTTACTTGTATTTTATCGGTTTGAGAATATTTTTAATGGATTAATGAGATTCTTGCGATTAATTTTAATGGATTTTTGTGCGATTAAAATGACATTAAACACAACATAAATCGGATAATTTTTAATTAAACTAATAATAAAAATTTTGATTACATATTTAACTAAAAATTATCCGGTTTATGTCGTGTCTGGTATCATTTTAATCGCAAAAATCCATTAAAATTATTTTCAAACAGGTAATGCAAAATATAAAAGTTTTATTTTCTATGGTAATATGATACATATATGTATATTTGTGAAATATTATATAATAAAGAAATAAGCCCCTCGCATGTAAGAGACTTCAAAACTCTTTGATGATACTTATATTTATATATAAATTATGCTTATATAAATTTATATATAATAACATTTAATGTGCATCAGTGCATCATGCGCACTAGTGCATCCAACTAAATTTATAAATTAAAAAATTACTTAAATAATATAATTAATAATAAATAAATAATTAATTATAAAAAGCTATATCAATTAAAAGCATAACATTTTGATATTGCTTAAAATGCTTAATAATTTTGTTTCAAGAATAAGAAAAAAATAAAAGCAATTTATTGTAAATATCTTCTACACGTTATATATTTAAAAGTCAGGAAAAAATTATTAAGAAAATTTATTTAAGAAAATTTATTTTATGTCACATGCGCATATACATAAAAATACTTCAATAATAATTTATTATCGCTATCCGTAATATATACTAGAATGGCAAAACATCACGCACAGCTAATAAAACATTAATAAATCTATAATATTTCTCCGCAATTTTGATCTACAATTATGGATCTAGGACACACATGTATTAATCGGTTGTTTTACCGTAGCACCGTAAAGTGAATCTGGTCATGTACCTAGTTCCGCCCGCTTTGTAAAATGGCTACTGTACCAGCTAAAAAAAGTATCTTATGAAAAACGGCGGCGTGACCTCTTTCAGGCTTCTCTCTCTTATTATATAATATATACCGTATTATATCTACCACTTAGGAAGAAAGCAGGGAGATCTCTAGTTTCTTCTCAAATAGTACCGCTCATCAAAAAAAAAGAGGGAAACATTTGCTGAAATTGGAGGACAAATATCGTCCTCCGGAGGACAGAAAAAATTTAACTGAATTGGAGGACTGTCCTCCCGATTGGAGGACGTCTGGCAACCCCAGGTACAACCCAGATATTCTGGGCCATCATGGGTCTTCTCTATTCGATGGTTTTGATATTCTTTTCTTGTCCGATATCGATTTTGTGTTCTGGGACATTCGGTGAGTGAAATCTTTTATCATAGCGAATATTAATTCGTTGTGATTGTATGCTCTGTGAAAGCAAAATGTATTTCGGAAAAATATTTAAAAAAGTTTACCGCTTTATGCCATTATATTCCTATTTGCGAGATGGCTTAACTCAATAAAATTAATTTGATGATCATTAACAAAATATCGATCAATGAAATTTTTATTTTTATTTAATATAGACGCTTATAATATCTAAACAATTTTCTGATTTTCAAAAACTAGATAAATATAAATGTGCGCGTCCATGAATTTGCTGGCATACTACTAGCATTTTGCTATCTGGGATAATATGTAAATCGAGAACTTGGCGCGATCATAAAACTCGAGATAATTATATTAAACGAATAAATAAAATCACAGAGAATATATATGTATAACGCTAACAAATAAATGTATATCGGGAGTGGTGAGAAAAATATCGGGCGATCGTTATATATGCGCAGATTCATCGCGTGATGTGTGAATTTTGTCGAGAGAATTTTTCCCGCGAATTTCAAACATGTCTCCTCCACCGGCGCAAAACAGACGGATGGATGCACGTACGATAACGCATCTCGTCGGCAAGTAAGTTTTACGATTAGTACTTTCAACGACCACTTGTCGGCGCCACGGGTACGCCGGGTCCAAGATGGCGCCGCCGCGCGACCGTATTGACAGGTGCTTCGGCAGCATGGCGACCAGTGTTTACGACAAATGATCGCGGTCGATCGGATTCGCGCCGCGAGCGAGTCTGGAGGCAGTTGTTTACGATATCGGTGGTGATCGCGTTCCTCTCCCTTTGCGACAACGCGCGTCTCGCGTCGAATTCGCGATTGTTCGCGGCGAATACAAAGCGCGAAATATTCCTCAACGGCGAGCAGCAAGTGGCGTGTGCTGGGACTGCTCCAAGACATCAGGTGGTGGCGGTGGCGGTGGCGGTGATGGTGGTGGTGGTGGAATCACTCGTTGGACACCTCGCGCTCGTCGCTCGCAGAATCCTCTCGAATATCATCGTCCTAATCGTGAGTACCATACAATTGTAAATCATTTATTTAATAAATTTGAATTCGGGGTTTTGGGGATGCAAAGCGTCGTTTCGAAAGCCGTACGACGCGTCATTTCGAGGTGCCGCAAATTTGACAGTGGCGGAGAGAAAGAGAGAGAGAGAGAGAGAGAAAGAGAAAGAGAGGGGCCATCTTTGAGGCCATCCTTCGGTATCGGTCACGTCGGCGAAAGAGAATAGCGATTACACGTGCGGATCGTGTTACATAAAACCACAGCTAAACGGATCGAATGCCGTGGGATGACGTCGCGTTAGATAATAGATTGTACAGGAAAGGATGAATATATCTACCTACGCGTCTCGACATGCGAGATGCGATTCTGCGTACCACCAAAGAGCACGCTTTTGCCGGTTTTGCCTTAAACTCGAAATTTAATTCGCAATCTTATTGTTAAATCGGCCGAAACGAAAGGAAGATCGTTCGTTGCACGATTCGAATCGTGTCATCCCAGTCTCTTCCTTCGAATATTACGGTCTCTCGAGCGACTGCTCCTTTAATGATTTCATTATCAATCGATTCGCATTTAACGATGTTCGAGAAAATTTCATTGACAAACGTTTATCGCGATTTTTTCCAAGAATAATACTTACGAATTGAAATAATTTTTTGCATAAGAGTTATGTAAAGCGATTTTTTTGTTCGCGATATTTTATTTTTATATGAAGTATTTTTTCTCGCATTCGTTGCATTCACATTCCGTTTTGTTGCAATCGATTATACTATATTATTATTCCACCGGATGCAACTTTTACTTTGACAAATCTAATTTTTCCTTACTCGAGTAATAATTTGCAAGGAAATTATGATCCTAATAGTTATTGTAAACTTAATTCCGCGTCAGATTTCTCCACGATGCGCTTATCAGAGGTTTATCGAGAATCATCGAAGCAGCTTCTCTTTCTCTCTTTCATTCGCTGCGTGCATTTTGTTATCTTATCATTATCTCGCACGGACAATAAATAGAAGAAAAATCATTATTGTTCCAAGGGGAGAAGGGACGGCGATCGAATACACGAATGCGAACTCTCGTGTTCGGCATAGTTTCAGCATCCGGGGGAGAATGGCCGCGCTGCTCCCGGTGTATACGTAATTAAATTTATCGATCGCCGAGGGAGACGTCGTGGCGGCACTCGAGAATGCGCGTCGTGGATCCCTCTTCATTTTTATCGCGCGCTTTTCCTCTTTTTACGAGAATATGCATTTCCGTCAAGCTTAAAGAATATTCTCTTCCGGCGTTAAGCGAAATATTCGCCATGAAGGTGATTATATAGATTATATATGATCGTGCGCAGAAATCTACCGCGCAATCTTTCTCTCGCGTAAGTTCCTTTTTTTTCCCTGAATTTGGGGAATCCGCCTTTCTCCGTAGATCGATAGCCCTTTTTGCGGCTTTTAAATTAAGCTTGATTAAATTAACTTAAAGTGTCACATATACTAGTATGTGTATGTGTGGTTACACGTTGTAATAGATTACTTTTTTTCTAATGGGATGTACATTTAAACCAAGTTTAATTGAAAACAATTAAATTCGCACAAATACCTTGCTCAGCTCATCGAACAAACTTCCAAGCGAATTGACCTCCAGATTGGGCTTCTGCCCCAATTGTTACATTGTCGCCGTCGCGTCGGCACTTGTACGGCTTTTATCGCTTTTGTGCGCAGCCAGAATATCTAACGCATTATAAAAGTATTCAAGCGCTTTGAATCTTTTCTCCTAAGAAATTTTTAAGCACATCTTATCGTGACTATAATTTGTGCCTTTATTCGATATACGAGGGTATATAATTGATGATATGAAAAATGTTGAAACTAAAATATTTTAGAGACAGCAGGGCGAGTGTACTATTTTCTATGTGAAATTGGCTAAGATAACGATTATAGTCATTCAAAATTGCGGATAAACAGATATAAAATTAATTTTAAAAATTTCATTGGCGGTTGTAGAGCAGAAGCACAGAAGAAAGTAAATATGTCCAAAAAGTGTATGCTCTAAAATACTACAACTTTGCTTAACTTTTCCACTCATCAATATCTTTGAAAATATTGATAATTCATTTGTCATGCCTCACTTTTTGTATTCTAGAATGATTGTAATACAAAATTTTTTAAAATTATTTTGATTAAAGACAGGGAAGATATACTTTATAAAATAAGATAAAAATATTGTTTTCGGCATCGTTTGACATCGTCGTATCGTATTAATCGTGATATTAGTAAGATAACAAGTTTATTTTGCGCAACAACTCGCAAACTATAGATCATATTGCATTGTTATAAGAGTTCTATATCGCTCTTTAATAGACGATCACGTAATTCTGACGATTCTCATATCACCCGATCTACTCGTATATGGACGCGTTATTCTAGTTGCGCACAAATCATTGAATGGACACGATATACGTGATTATATAACTCAATACGCACATTCGTGCGGAACAAGCTCTCGTCAAGTCGGAACAATTCGCTATATATTTCTGCAATTCTCTAAAATGTTTATCACAATTTTTCGCCGATCTATTTTTAAATTGTCGCCGTTATAATAAATCGCAACACGCCGAACGTGATGGAGACACGAAGAGGCTCGAGAACGGAAAAATCGTTTCAATCTTGTACGTCTTATAAGTTAGCGGAACAGAATGAGCAGAATCAATTCTAATTAATATTTTTATTTGTTGCTCATTTGTTGCTAAAAAGTTGCCAAAGAAAAAAATTTGTTGCTCTGTAAGTTTTAAAAAAAAATGATGTTCCGCTAAAGGAAGATTAAGTTAGCGGAACACAAATAAAAATATTAATTAGAATTGATTCTGCTCATTTTGTTCCGCTAACTTATAAGACGTCAATCTTGTTCTGGTTGATCCGTGCGAAGGTCGCCAATCGTCGCGAATATCCACGCGGCTGCTCTGTTAAGATTAATTATATGCCGCAACAACTTGAAATGATCTATTGTATTTTAACGGCCGTGTCACACGCTCCAACCTTGAATGTAAGTCGAGGGAATTGACCTCGAACCGGATCTGGAATTCTTTTTCTTCGGGGAAGGGTAATGTGGAATTATGAAAGGGTAGGTAGGTTTTGCACATGTCATGCTAAAAGTCTCACATACTTGGGGCTTAAACAAACTGCGACAAGTCCGCGCAGACACATTTTATACATATAATTCGAGATATTCTCATAATTCAATCATTAATTCCGTGTACATATATTATTTATTTTATTTATTTCTTTATTTATTCAAACACTTTAACGCAAGCGATTTTATTAAAGTATATCACGCGCTTCATTTTTTTTTATATATTTTTAAGTCAAAAACATTTTTTATATATTTTCAAGTCAAAAACTTGACACGGACAACTAATCTAGCAACTCTTTTATTTCTCGTATATATGAATACATATATATGGGGGAGTTTAAAATATTAATCAAGATTAATTTGTAATATCGCGTTAATCACAATTTTTTCACAGTTTTAGTGTAGTGGATAGCGCGAGTTTACCGATTTTCCCATCGATCACCGGTTTCTTGATGTTCAGACCCATTCCAAGTTTATCAATTACTTTTGGGGTCAGTTTTTCGTAATTTATCGAATCGTCTGAAATAGAAGCGTCTACGATTGAATTTTCTGTTGCTTTGTTTTCCTGTTTATATTCATCACTTCCACTTTCGGAATCTTTATAATCCTTTTCATTGTTAGTCTTTGTCCCGATTTTTAATCCTACGACTTTAATCGTGCCCTTCTTCCGATTTGTATCCTTCGTATCTTGCTCGAGATAAAATTCGCTTCTCGGAAGCTTCACGCAATCCTTACCGCGTAATTTCTGCATCAGACTCGTCATCGACCCGTCAATTGATCTCCTACAGAGTCGGATATAATTATTCTTTTTTTTAGCGCGATTATCGGCATTATTTTTTTCATCCGCGTCCCTCGACACAACGCCCGATCCGAGCTGCGTATTCGCCTTGGCGAATTTTTCCACTAACGCATCTGTAATATCCGGGACATACAGGTGATAAATATTCGCGTCCTTTGTATTTCCGTTTTTAAAAGCTCTCGTTAGACTATTAATTCGCTTCTCTTCCGTCGAAAGTTCCTTATGCTCATCCGATAGTACGTCGTGCGACCATTCCGCTTGTTTCGCGAGCTGGATATTTGTCGAGATGCCTGCGTGATCGGGATGTTTTTTCGATTCTACTTTAGCCTGAAAACCCACGTCGAGTCTCGTCGCGTCGTTCACAGAACCTATTACGGGTTTTATTATTCCCAATGGATATAAAGAACCACCATTCCCATAGCTTTGTTCAAGTTTGTCTTTTCCGTTATTTCTGCGAATTTCTTTTGGCACATCAATGATACCGACGAAATCGTTCAATTGCTCGTTTACAGTTGTCGCTACTTTTCCAAGATTTATATTAAATAAAAAAAAAAATATATATATATACAATTATAAATAGTTTATACCTGAATTCTACGAATTATAGATTGTTTAAAATGGAATTTAAGAATATCTTTTCTTTATTCGATGCAACAGAGACAGATTGTGGCCAATAAAGGATATTTATTGAGTGAAAAATTGCAAGCTATTATAAATTCAAAACGGCCAATCGATCGGAATAATCCAATCAAGGAGCGTACGATAATGGAGAGCTGCTCTTCCGTCCTTGCTCTTGCCGTATGCTCGCGCGTCGCTTTACGAGATACAACTTTAAACGTTTGTTTTGCAGTGTGTTATATTGAATAACGCAATTTAAATGAAAAAAGACTCACCGGCACTGACGGTAACAGGTAAAGGACAGCCGAGAAGGGAAGAGCAAGACTGAGAGCTGCCATCGTATCTCGATTCGATCAAGAGACCGATCATTCGTTAGACGAGCCAATCCCTACGTCGATTTCTTTATGTACCCCGAGAGACGATTTAGTCTTCTCGGCTGTGGTCACGCTTTTCTATCCGTTTCCTTTTTAATGGCGCGTCACATGTAATTTCGTCCATTTACGACGCATTGTCTGTACAAAAATCATCTTTGCCATTTAACTTTGCTGCAGATAACAATTGTTACTTGAAGGTCGCTTCTTATCGTAAAGTAAAATTTATCGATTATAATTATTATTCATGTTATTTTTTATTACGGTTAATTATTTTAAATAAAATAATTTTTGCAATCAGTTTTTATAATACCGCAGCTAATTATGAAATTATATGAATCTCATTCCCATAAGAAATCTCTTAATAGTATAAGAATTTTTTGTTCTATTAAAATTGAAAAGGAAGAAGAGCTATTATCTATATTTTTCCTTGCTAATTATCCACGCGATCGCGCAACGAAATGTCTTCACGATTCTCTCTCGTAATGCGAAATAATTTACCGTCCAATTTACCTTCTGCCGGGATTCATCGATCTAGCCGGATTTTCAGCTATCGGCGAGTTAATGATGCGTGGCCTGAAAATTTATAGTGCGTATAATCGAAAGTTCGTGTTCGACTCTCTCATGCTTTTTATCCTGATGTATACTTACATCCTGTTCGATGTGGCCTGTTCGATGTACTACTATAAAAAATATATATATAAGTATTTTATCGCGTCTCGGATATATATATATATACATGTAGAGTGAATTAGTTGAATATTATCATCGTTATTCTTAATATATTTAATATATCAATCAATCAATATAATTATTTTATACCTAGATGCGTAAACGAGATAATTTCCAATTCGTTAACATTTTTTTTATCTTTTATTTGACAATTTTGTTATCGCAAAAATAACGAATAAAATACGCAAACAGATTAAATATAAATCAAGCTTGAGAGATGCTGGGCTACAAGAGATACATAAAGATTTTATATTAATGTGAAAAATCTTCTTAATTTATAATTTTTGGCAGGAAGCCTAGTTCTTTAGATATTCAAAATACGCAATAATGTGTGTGTACACGTTGATTATAATTAACAAACTTATTAATGGAAATGAATTTGAACTGCAGAAAGTTAAAGAGTATAATGTTCTATTGTATTTAATAATGCTCAAGGATATTATTCATGTGTGATATGGTAATCATTATAATATACTGCTTCTTTATCAGAATAACGAACACGGCAATGCGCCCACGCGTGACGCCGTTTATAGCAGTTCTCGTTCGTATTTCCGATCACGCGATTGCTCGGACCTTAATTAATTGTAGCCGTGATCATCGGCGGATCGACACATCAGAAAATTCGTCGCGCATAAAATTCCTCTTTTGCTTTCCCCTTTTCTGAATCTTTCAAGCGTAGGTGGACGTAGATAACGAAGTGAGAAAGGTAATGAAACATAATCGTTTAACGCATCCGTTATCTTGCCCTGAAGCACGGTCTCACATCTTCATACCAGAAACCGGAAGCCACGGGCGCGCATCATCCATTGTCACGGCTCACTGTTTGCGAGAAGTCGTAATCTTATCTAGCGGTCCCTTCATATCCACTGCCGCGGCAGCGATAAGAAAATCCGTCGCTTTAAAAGTTTCCTCGCCCTTTCCGCTCCGGATTTATTAATCACCACGCTCGCCTAATTATACGTCGTAAATAATTAAGTGCGGATACGAGATTAAGGGGAGTTTCAGCCAAGGCTCTTTGTTTCGAGCGAGAATCAGCGAAACAAAAATCGTATTAATCTTTCTTGTCGTGAAATTATTGTACTACTTTCGACGTTCAATCAATGATATAACTTCCGAAATAGACGGTACGATCATATCACGAGCGCGTTGAAGCGCACGCTAGACGACAATTTGCGAATTGACATGGTCGAGATAATTTAACAACCGAGCATATACCGACGAAATTTCTATTCTCCGCGCAATTTCGCGATTACGCGAGCGCGACAAAGATGAGAACGACGACGGACTCGCGTTTCCGGTAGAAACAATTTACCGCGTGCCTCGCGACGACTCGTTCGGATTACTAAGATGATATCAGTCATTTTACCACGGTAATTAACGTCACCGACCACATAGACTACTCGCGCGCGAGTAACCTCGAGAGCTCTTGGTTTCCAATGAGCGGACAAGATACATATTGCAATTAAATGCCGCTATCATTAATCATCCAGATATAAACTGTCACACAAGAAGAGCGTGTGTGTATGTGTGAATCTAATTTCCGATTTATTTTAAAGAATTGTATCTATTTCAACGATAAAAATTTAATTGTACGCTAATTAGTTATTTTCTTTCTCCACTTGTCGATTAAAATAATGATCATAATTTTTTTTCAAGTGCGAAATATTTATATATAATACAGAGAAAATAAAAAAAAAAAATATATATATATACAATTATAAATAGTTTATACCTGAATTCTACGAATTATAGATTGTTTAAAATGGAATTTAAGAATATCTTTTCTTTATTCGATGCAACAGAGACAGATTGTGGCCAATAAAGGATATTTATTGAGTGAAAAATTGCAAGCTATTATAAATTCAAAACGGCCAATCGATCGGAATAATCCAATCAAGGAGCGTACGATAATGGAGAGCTGCTCTTCCGTCCTTGCTCTTGCCGTATGCTCGCGCGTCGCTTTACGAGATACAACTTTAAACGTTTGTCGAGGGA